GTGCTGTTGTATTCAGTAGTTTCTGAGGACTAATGTTGGTGGATGTTTTTGTTTATTGTTGTAATACTAGGATGTAATTTTAATGTATTTGTTTTAGCCAAAGAGTTATGATTGAAGACCCAAATTCAGTTGGGATATAGGTTATAAATATAAGCATTGTAACCTAGGAAAAGATATCATCCAAAATTAGAAAAGATATAGTCATTAGGATTGAGTCTTTATCACTCTCTAGGAGAGTTGGTTATGTAAGCCACTCGACATGTGAGTAGGATTTGTTATAGAGTTATAATTCTTTATTATTCTCACGTAGAAGTTGTGAAGTAATGAGTTGAGTATTATTCTTAGAAGAAGCTTTTAAGTAACTACAATTTGTGTTCTTAGTCAAGAGTCTTGGCTAGGTATTGTCATGGAAGTGTGTCTTCTGTTTGTGATGTCATGGAAGTGTGTCTTCCTGTTTTGATCTAATTGGTGTATGTAATTGATGAGGGATTGAGGATGGCCTCATATCTAGGTGAGTATTAGATAGAAGTCTATAAAGGATAGTGATTAAGTGATTAGGCCATAAATTGGAGGTTTGCTGTAGGGTCTATGAATTGATACTATTTGAGTAGATTTATCCCTAGCTTGGTAGCCCCTGGAGTAGGAAGGTTGTTCTGAAATGGGTTAATAATTTATGTGTGTTGTTTATGCTTTTCAGTACTGGTTTTAAATTGTTTTTACCTTGCCTATATGTTTTATTCAGATCATATGTCCCAACATGTCATAGGACATCTGAGTTCTGTCACACTAGAATTTTAGTTCCAATCCCATGCTTTTTATTCTTTCACAATGGCGTCTCTGTTGAATTCAATTTGTTAGTGATTGGAAAATAAATCTTATAAGCACATCTACAGTGGTGCTCAATTAGCAACATTATTTTGCTTCTCTTGTAACAAATAGAACCAAATACTCTAAAATGACTCACACTTTGCTTATTTCCTTCATCTTCTTGGTTGGACACCTGTTAAGCACATATGTTGCAGTGGCAATAGCTTCTCCTTGTAAGGTGTGAGGCATATTCTTTTCTTTCAGCATGCTTCTTGTCATATCAAGCAAAGTTCTATTTCTTTTTTCAGCAAGAACATTGTGTTGAGGTGGTATGGAGCAGTAACCTCATGCTTAATTCCATTCTCCTTGTAGAACCTTCTGAACTCTGATGATTTGTACTCACCTCCACTGTTATTTCTGAGAACTTTCTATGTTTTTCAACTTTCACTTTGAACTTCTGAAACTCAGAAAACACCCTGTGCTTAAACTTGATGAGTGTTACCCATGTCATTCTTGTAAACTCGTCCGCAAAAGACACAAAGTACTTGTTTCATCCATGTGAAGGCACTTCAAATGTCCCACATACATCAGCATATGCTACTCCCAAAGCACGTTTTTCTCTTGGAGCCACTTCTGATGCAAATGAAAATCTAGGTTGCTTGTCTTTCATGCATATCTCACATGAATTTTCAGGCTTCTCAATCTTAGGTATTCCATATACCAGCTTCTTAGAACTCAGATTCCCTAAGCTTCTGAAATTAAGATGCCCCTTCTTATGTCACAGCTCACAGTCACCTTCAGCGCCTTCTTCACTAAGGCATTTAGTTTCAGCTGTCTCCACATTCACCTTGAATATTTTGTTGCTTCTCTATTCAGATTGCATAATCAGCTTCTGATCAAAATTATACAACTTCAAGAGATTATTCTTCTTAGTTACTGAGAAACCTTTCTTAATGAGCTGACCTACACTCATTAGATTGTAATTCATACCAGGAACATACCAAACACCCTTAATCAAAACAATTTTACCATTCTTCACTTTGACTTTGACATTTCCCATTCCTTCAACATTAAGGTACTTAACATCAGTACATCTGATCTTTGTCCTCTTTTTAGAGTCAAAATCAATCAGCCATTATTTGTTTCTAGTTAGGTGATTTGAGCAGTCAGTGTGCATATACCACCAGTCCACCAAATATCCACCATCAGATTCATAAGTCATCAATAGCACAGGTCATCAGAATTTCCTATGGCTATGTTTGCTTCTTCTAACTTCCTTTCCTTGTTTGACCAACAGTCCTTAGCAAAATGATCAAACCTATTAAAGTTATAACACTGAATCTTTCTCTTATTAAGTTTTCCTTTCCCTTTTGATGATTCTTCTCATTAGAGTTAGAGGTTTCTAACTTCTGAGAACCACAATCATGTCTCTTCTTGGCATCTGGCCAAGACTACCTCTTATTCTTCTTACCAGAAGAAGAAGCTTCCAGAGCCTATTTTATCTCTCTTTTAGAGTTTCTCTTAGTTAGACGTAACTTTCGTTCCTCTAGAATACTCTACAACTCTTCAATTCTCATGGTGCTCAGGTTCTTAGAATTTTCAATTGCTACAACAATATTATCAAACAGAGGAGTAAGGGATCTGAGTACCTTTTCAATAATGACTTGTTCAGAGAGCATTTCTCCACAAGCATTCATCTCATTGCTGACCACAATCACTCTGGAGGTGTAATCAAGTACTTTCTCATTATTCTTCATATTGAGATTCTCATACTTCTTACATAGCCTCTGAAGCTTCAACTTCTCCACTGATGCGTCACCGTCATAGTAATGTACAATGTGTCCCACGTAGCCTTCATCGTCATTGAATTAACAATATTCTCAAACACATTTATATCCACACACTGATGAATATAAAGCAACACTTTCTGATCCTTCTTCCTCATTTCATGTTGCGTGTTTCTTTTTGCTTCCATTGCATCTGTTGTAACTATCGTGTAACTGTCACTGATGAGATCAAAAACATCTTGAGCGCCAAACAACACATGCATCTGAATCATCCACTGATTTCAGTTATTTCCATCAAATACTGGAAGTTTTATGTTCAAGCTACTATTTTCGCCATTCATCTTTGTTCTTGTGTAAATTAACTCAGATCTCACCAATATTAGTGTTTTCCATTGCAGTATCAAGAAATGTGATTTTGTTCTGATTTCTATCATAAATTCAACTCAAATTCAAGAAACAAAAACAATCACTCACCCCTCACGTACACTCATATTTTTCCGTGAATCTAACTGAAACTCTAGATATCAATTATTAGAGTACAAGATGAAGAATGTGGAGATGGAAGAAGAGACGAAAGAGTAGAAAGAAAGTTGTAACTAACTTTTCAAATTGCATAAATGAAAATCAATGTTATGTTTACAACTAAGGCCACTAATTTATATATTAGTGTCACTCCTAAAAAAATAGCTTTTGAAAATGACTTATATCTAACATCTTCTTCGTGATTGATTTGAATTCTAAAATTCTTGGAGTTGTAGGTAGGATTGAAGAAAAAGAAGATTGTTTTTCATTTTTTTCAGAAGTGTTTTGGTTAGGTTATGCTCGATTTTATAATGCTTTTAATAGGAATATAATCTTTGAAAACATATTTACAAATTAAAAAAATTAATTAAGAAAATCAATAAATCCAACCTGGATATACAATAGATGGGGACCATGAAAATTCCAATGAAAGTAAAGTTCGGGACAAAAAAATAGTTTTTAAAATAGAAAGACTAAAAATTAAAAAATACATCAAACTAGGGGATCAAATGTGCACTTAAGTCTAATTTTTATCATATTTTTCATCACTCAATTTTTATCATGATTATGTTATCAATGAGAGATGACAACGAGAAGGTGGCTATTGCAAGACTTTCTACATTTTTAGTTGATATGAGATTTAACCACTCACATTTAAATTCCAATAATTTTAAGATTTTGAATGAATATGGAATGTCAAAGTCTCATGTATCATAAACACTTACCACATTAAGATTTATGATGCTTTCCAGACTCCCCTAACAAGTGATCAGAGTCAAGGTTAGACTTGATGAAAGAGTAGAATTGAAATTTTAGTATGAATCAAAGTTAGTGATATGAGTGGCTCACTTGTAGGAGTGATTGTTGAAATTCAAATATGGATGATTAAGTGTCATGTCAACTAAAAATGAAGAAAATGTTAAGTAAATAAAAAGAAATGACACATACTTTCATTGTCTTAAGATTTTTGATATTTCTACGATAAGATCTTTAAAATAAAATAAAAAATAGTTGCCTGAAACCTAACAAAAAAGTTGCGTTTAAAAAAATCAAAATTTCAGTGTCACAAGAAAATAGTTTGATGATTCATTTATTGAAAATAATTTCTGTGGCACGTCTATTGAAGTCGGACGGTGGTGGGGCATTGCCCGAAGGGTTGGATTTGATGGTTGAAAATGAGTGCATAATTGGTGAGATTGGGAAGATAATACCACTGGCGTGGAAGGTACGCCGGTGAAGGGGGGGAGAAAGTGGTGGAAGAGGAAGAATAGGGAGTAAACTGAATATAGATGATACACCATAACACTTGAAGACCCCTTTAGTTTAAAGGTGAAAAAACCATGTGCACCATGCACAACTTACTTCAGTTGAGCGTATTGGAAGAAACTTATTTTTCATGCACATAACTCAGATGCATTGTTATGTTGTCTATTTTCAATATAACTAACACCTATAACTTCTTTGATACCTCTCAAAGAGGAACCACAAGAACACTGCCTGCCTATACCAAGCAACCTGGTTTTATATTGTCCAGATAAAAACGTGTCAATTTTTTAATCATATTAGCTAAACCTTTAACATAAAAAAATCCAATCCAAAAAGAATAAAATAACCCATTAATGCATATGTTGGATGACAACGTTTATCAGAAGTTGGCTGAAACCAATAAATTGGAGAATAATTTGAAACAAATAAGACAACACAAAATACCTTATGATTGTGTTCCAGTGAGTCTACCAATCAAACCTATGATCAAATAGTTAACTTCCAAGGTCATCTGGTTTCAGATGATAGATATGATAATATATATACACGACCTATGGACCGCAGACACAAACATATTCCAAACCCATTGATAACACCACCATCATTATCACGGCTACACTACTGCTGATACTCGGGGTTAAAAGCTAGAGCCTCTCTGTATATCAGTTCTTTCATTTGTTCCTCGGTCAAAGCATGCTGTTCAAAATCAAAGCTGAAAGGAGTCGTGCATACAGGTTCATCGCTGATGTCATGCAGCGATGTCAAGTAAGGGTGTGCCAATGCATTTTCAACTGCAAAACAAGGTCAATGAAGGAATTTAAGCACACAAGACAAAGGCTTGTATTTCGGCATTTCAATGCAGGTGCGCCAATGCTTTTATGAGTGAGACTAGTATGAATCATTTTCTTGTTAGCAGAAAGAGTTGGTATCTCACATTTACATGCTATGTAACCTATGTTTGGTCCAAATTCTAATAAACAACTGATTTTTACATGATATAAAATCGATATATACCCCAAAAGCAAAAAAACTAAAGTATTTAGATCCATCCTATAGATGCAAATTATCAACCTATGATTGATGAACTGACTAGATGGCTTTGAATAAGCACTGTGAAGCTAAATTAAGCATGAAATTTTATGAAGTGTGTGTATGGACATTGTTATATCTTTAAACATCAATAAAGAGCCTCTGGAAACGAATACTTACCAGTAATTCTTTGTCTAGGATCAAAAGTTAACATCTTTTCAACAAGATCTATAGCTTCAGGATGGACATGTGGAAATTTTTCTAGGAAAGATTGGCGGCGGTAAAGAGGCAGTTGCCTAATGTACCTCTTAGCATTTTCATTCAGAAATCCCAAATCAGCCTCTGATGGGGTGCCAATCAACTGTAAAACATAAAGCATGGCAGTTTTATTAATACACTGATGTAATGAAACTTAATCTATAGTATACTCTAGAAAGATATGGCAGTGAATTCTATATTGTTTTAATAATGTGTTGGTTTCAAACTCAGCAGGTTAATAACTTAAACAGCAAAAACTAATGTAAATCAATAACTATTGAACATCTTCAAACACCAATGACAGATAAAGAAGCTACCTCCATAAGTAGACGCAACTGATGCACGTGATCTCTGCCAGGAAACAATGGCTTTCGATCCATCAGTTCCATGAAAATACAACCAACAGACCAGACATCAATTGCTGCTGTGTAATCAGAAGAGTTTAACAGAAGCTCTGGTGCACGGTACCATCTTGTAACAACATATTCAGTCATAAAATCAGTTTCAGAGGTTACACGAGCCAGTCCAAAATCACAAATCTTTAAGTCACAGTTGGCATTTAAGAGAAGGTTGCTGGGTTTTAAGTCCCTATGCAAAACATTCGCGGAATGTATGTACTTCAACCCACGAAGAATCTGGTACAGAAAATACTACAAAAAAGGAAAAGAAAAAGCTTATAAATAATGGTTTCAGGGATAAGATATAATAAACTTCAAGATAAATGGGTATAATTTAAAAGGGGGTATATTTAAATATATACTTGACAGTGCTCCTCTGATAATGCTTGGTTTGATCGAATGATTTGGTGAAGATCAGTGTCCATTAGCTCATATGCAATGTAAACATCATTGAATACCTCCCGCTGAGGTGGTGGCACTATATCCCGGATCGCAACCACCTACACAAAACTTACATTAAGCAAACCAAAATGCCAAATTTAAGAAGTATTTCTATGCTAAGAAGTCTATATAAGACACTATATAGGCTTTAAATGACGGAAGAATAAATGCCTTTTTTCATTTTAATATTGGAACTACAAGACAGTTAAAGTCGACACAAAATCAATAAAATACACATGTTAAGACAGTGTCGGAATGGAAAATAAATGCTCCAAGGTTCCTTACAAGAAGATAAACTAACCACTGATTGCAAGGATATCAAACATAAACATGCACTAATCATTGATTTTCATTTTGGACAGAATTTTACTTGTCTGATTGTTTCAGATTTCAGCAGAAGCAATATGATTTCAGATTTTCGATAGCGTAAAAAACAACTAAAGTCACAGAAAAATCAATAAAATACACATGTTAAGACAGTGTTGGAGTGGAAAATAACTACTCTAAGATTTACAACACGAGGATAAACTAATCAACAATTGCAAGGATGTCGAACAGACACAGGCACTCATCATTTATTTTCCATTTTAACAGAATTTTAATTGTTTTAGATTTTAGCGGAAAAACCAATAGGATTTCAGAAATCGTAAAAAAAAGTAAAAACATCTAAAATCAAATGTAAAATCAAGCAAATACACACATGTTGTTAAATGGCGGCCAACACACCACCATTCTGCTATTGCATGGAAGTTTTTTGGACAACCTCCATAGGCAATTTGTAAAGGAATGCTCCAAAATTCCTCACACAAGGATAAACTAATCAACGATTGCAAGGATATTGAACAGAAACAGGCACTCATTATTGATTTTCCTTTTGAACAGAATTTTACTTGTCTCAGATTTCAGCAGAAGCAATAGGATTTCAGATATCGTAAAATCATCTAAAGTCTATACAAAATCAATAAAATACGCGTATTAAAAGGTGTTGTTAAATAGGAGCCATGGTGCCGCCACTATGCCATGGCATGAAAATGGCATCCAGCATGGCGACACCATTGGCACAATGGCGTGTTCATATGGCAGAATTTTCCCCTTCCGCCATCACAATAATGAATGCAGTGTTGGAATGAAAAATAACTGCTCCAAGATTCCTCACACGAGAATACACTAATCGATGATTGCATGCATAATAAACGAAACAGATGTTCATTGTTGATTTTCCTTCTGGACAGAATTTTACTTGTTTCAGATTTGAACAGGCAATAAGATATCGTAAAAACATCTAAAGTCAAATGCAAAATCAATAAAATACACATGTTAAGAAGTGTTGGTAAAAGGCGGCTATGTCATTGTCACAGCAATTCCGCCTTGGCATGGCAGATTTATGGACAACCGACATAGGCAATTTGTGAAGGTATGCCTGCCATAGGCTGCAATGGCTTGTTAATATGGCAGAATTTAGGCCTTCCGCCATCGACAACAATGAAGGCAGTGGGGGAATGGAAAATAAATGCTCCAAGATTTCTTACACAAGGATAAGCTAATCAGTGATTGCAAGGATATTGAAAAGAAACAAGCGCTCCTGGATGATTTTTTATTTCAACAGAATTTTACTTGTTTCAGATTTCAGAAATAGTAAAAAAAGATATTTAAAGTCAAACACAAAATCAATCAAATACACAAGTTGTGCAGTGTTACTAAATGACGGCCATGGTGCCACCATTCCGCCATGGTATGGCAGTTGTTTGGACAACCGCCATAGGCAATTCGTGAAGAAATACTCGCAATAGGCAGCACTGGTGTGTTTCTACGGGGATTTTCAGCCTTCCGCCATCAACAACTATGAAGACAGTACCGGAATGGAAAATAAGTGCTCCAAGATTCCTTACATGAGGATAAACTAATCAACAATTCGAAGGATGTTGAACAGAAACAGACACGAATTACAGATTTTCCTTTTGGGCAGACTTTTATTTCATATTTAAATGGAGGCAATAGGACTTCGGACATCATAATAACATTAAAATACAGATGCTATGAAGTGTTGTTAAACTGCAGCCATGGCGCCGCCATTCCACCATGAGATGACAGTTTTTTGGACAACTGCCATAGGCAACTTGTGAAGGAATGTCCGCCATAGGCTGCAATGGTGTTTTTATATGGAGGATTTTCGGCCTTCCTCCATTGAAACCAAACGAAGATAGTGTCGCAGTGGAAAATAAATCCTCTGAGATTCCTTAGACAAGCATAAACTAATCAACGATGGGAAAGATACCGAACAGAAGCGAATGCAAATAATGGATTTTCCTTTTGCACAGAATTTTACTTTTTCCAGATTTCAGCAGAAGCAATAGGGTTTCAGATATCATAAAGACATATATAGTAGCCCTAAAACAATTTTAAAAAAAAATGTGCTAAGAAGAGCTGTCAAATGGTGGCCATGGCATCGCCATTCCGCCATAGCATTGCAGAATTTTAAACAACTGCCATAGGATATTTGGGAAGGAATGTCCGCCATGGCGACATGTAGGGTGCAATGGCGTGTTTATATTGCAAAACTTTGGCCTTCCGCCATCCACCATTGAGAACAATGAAGACAGTGTCAGAATGGAAAATAACTGCCCCAAGATTTCTTACACGAGGGTAAACTAACCAGTGATTGCAAGGATGTCAAACAGAAACAGGCGCTCATCGTCGATTATTCTTTTGGACAAAATTTTATTTTTTTCGGATTTCAGATATGGTAAAAACCATCTAAAGTCAAGAGAAAAATCAATAAAATACACATTTTAAAATCAATAAACAACAACAACAACAACAACAACAACAAAGCCTTATCCCGCTAAGTGGAGTCGGCTACATGGATCAACTCCCACCATAATGTTCTATACAACGACAATTTTTTCAGATACCAAAGAAAGTTTGCACAAAATAAGTACTCAAACTCCCAGATCACAGAATATATATCTATAAAGCAACAAACAACATTCAATTCACAAAAACATGACACAATCATTACTCACTAACGTTTTCATGATCCATGTGGCGAAGCAACTTGATTTCACGAAGGGTCCTCTTTGCATCAATCTTGTTATCAAATGCATTTGCAATCTTCTTAACAGCAACATGTTCATTCGTCTCCGAATTATGAGCAGAGCTATTCACATACGGAAAACAAAAAAACATAAACAAAATCCATTTTCCATTCCCATCAAAAACATGCTATACAACAACCAAAATTCAAGAAAAAAATAAAAAATAAAAAAGCAAACTTTGACATTAATTTGATTCGAAAAAACTGAAAATACAAAAAAGAAAGAAAAAAAGTTAGAACAACATACCAAACAATACCGTAAGCGCCTTTACCGATTGGCATGATAGGAGGTCGGTATTTTGCAGTAACTTCAAATATATTACCGAATATATTGTATTGAATGAACCTTCCACCGTGGCTGAGTGTTGCCGGAATATTCTCGATCCCCCCCGCCACCTGCTGCTGTGGCTCTTGCTGTTGCGGTGGTGCTGCGTCTTCCATCACCGCGTCAGCTGGCGGAGCTCCTCCTCCTTCCATTATTCTTCCTCTTGAAGCTGAATTTTTGAATAAAAAATGATATATTAATTCTGAAGAGAGAGAGAAAAACAAAACAAAAAAAGAGTTAATGAATGAATATTGCTGTTAATAATAAGTACAAGACAATGAACGATAATAACGCAAATCAGAGATTTAAAGATAAAAAGTAAGAACCTGATTTGTGTTGTGTTTGTGATTGTGTTTCTATGTGAAAGCTTTTCTTGTTCAAATAGATCTGTACTATTTCTCTCTCTCTCTCTCTAACTTCTCTATAAACTTCACCTCTCTCTCTCTTCCTCTTTCTCTCTCTCTTTTATATACACATTTTATTACTTTTTTTTCTCTGTCATTTCCTAAGCTCTTTTATTTATTATGAATTCATCAATGTTATCAATAGGTTTAAGCCAGTAATTTAATGATATTATTAATGTTTTTTAAAATCCATTGTATTAGATTTTTAATTTTTTGAAAGATATTTAATGATTTAATTTCTATTTATTATTTTTATTTTTATTTAGATTCTATATTTAATTCTCTAATGGTTAACAAAAGTTTGTTACTAATTTTTTTTAAATAAAACCAGATATTGGTTATTAGATTTTTAAATATTTGAAAAATATTGTGAAATTAATAATTGTACTTTGCTAGGAACAAAGTAGAATTTGTATCTTTTTGAAAATACGATTTGAATTAGACATGACAAATCCAAATAACCAATACAAACATATTTATTAAATCGTTTTAAGTTTGACGAAAAAATACCAATAAATTAAAATTTGAATTCTTTTAAGGATTTTAAAATATAGATATAAGACGGACAAAAATATTAATATCATTCCATTAATAATATAGAATATTTAATTTTAATAATTTAAAATATTAATTATTTGATTGATAAATTAATATTTTTAATATTATTTTAATTTATTACTTTTAATATGTTAGAATTATGAATTTGTGAAATTGAATCATTTCAATTTTATTTAAGATGTAGAAATAAGACAGGATATTTATACCTAAATTTGTTTACGTCGATTTTAAATTTAATTGTTTATTCACATTTAAATTTAAGAAAGAGATAAATATTTAACTAAAATTTAAATTTGAATAAAGATAAAATTCGTCCCGATCTCGTCTATTGTTATGAGAATGGTTTATCAATGTTATAATCTTAGAAGAATTTTATTCTGTGAAAATATGTAAAATCTAATTTGATAAAATTCATGCACATATGAAAAATAGAAATTAGTAGTTATATATAGTATAAATATAAAATATAAATAAATTTTGAACAGTAACTATTTGTATTTTACTATTTCTTATTATATGTCGTTTTCCATTTTTATATATTAAAAAATATTATATAAGAATGAGATATTCAAAAATGGAAGAGTAATTATATTACTTTACGAAATTATTAATTATTAATCGGAAAAATATAAATTACAAAAATTTTAAAAAAATAACAAATAATCAAAAGTATAATAAAAAGTATAGCATTAATAATTTATTAGTATAAAAATATATATAAAATGTTATACATCAAAAAATAGAGTATCATTTTCATGCACCATAATATTACTTTAATTATAACAACGAAATACATTTGGATGTTTGTATAAAAAAAATTATCTGTATTAGTATAATTATCAAAATTTAAAAATATGATAATAGTTGGGTGGAATTTTACATATTTTAAATAAGAGAATATAATTTTAAAAAGTTAACACGCGGCACACTTGCTTGCTTGTTTACTATTTTCGTATAGTTTTATCAATATTATTGAAGAAATAATTTAAAGAAATATATATTTGATTTACTAAAGTACTAGTGGAGTATATATATAGAAAAAACACGTTTATTGCAAATAATATAGATGTGCTTATTCATTAATTTTTTAAATAAGTCAATCTTATTAGTAATCTAATTTTAATGCACTTGTGATTATGTAGTTTAATGTTTATATTGTATTTATAGATATTAATGGGTAGAGAATGTGTGGATGATGTTTTTCGTCTATTGTTTTGTCTCTAATATTTTTTTCATCTCTATTCTCGATTTCCGCTACAGAGAAATATTTGTTCTCATCTTTATTTCCGTAGATCTCCACATAGGATCGGAGATCTCCCGAAATTAAATCTTAAAGATTTTTCTATATTTTTTTATCAAAACTATAACACTAATATTTTATTATTTTCCTTTTTAAAAAAATATATATTTTGTATTTTTCTTTTCTTTTATAAATAAAGACACTTGCATCAAATAACAAAAAAAAATATATAAAACACTTGCACTTTCGAAAAACATAACCATTAATTTACTAATTGAATGAAAAATATATTATTCATTAAAGTATAGTAAAGTTGAAAAGTGATTACTATAAACACAATGAAAAAAAAAAGTAATTGATGTACATTGCATGTAATGTGTGAACTTTTTAAGAATTAGATACTTGAATACTAAAATAATATTATATTATACAATGAAACAAAAAAAATATTCACTAATAATTCTTCATTTTCTAATATATTAGTTATCTTTTAATAAAAAATCATGTAAAATTATATAATTATATATTATATGATATGTTATATATAAAAGTTAGTTAAGTTTCTTAACAATTTTAGAGCCAAAATTGAGGACAATTGTGTAATTTCATATTTTTATTTTTATTTATTTATCTTATATATAAAAGTTATTAAGTTTCTTAACAATTTTGGAGCCAAAATTAAAGATGAGTTTGTAATTTCACATTTTTATTTTTATTCATTTATTATTTATTTACTTTATTATTTAGCTTTTTTTTCTTTTTATTAATTTTTATAAATATTTTCTTTAATCATTTTTACATATGTTTCTTAAAACTTAACCACCCTTTTTCGAAATTATTTTTTTTTTAAATTATTTATTAAACATACCAATGTTTCTTAAAACTTAACTACCATCTTTTTAAAATTAACTATCATCTTACTCTTATATATAAAAGTGATCCTACTTGATTAGAAAGGATTGTCAAAACTCACAAGTTTTGAGTCGAGCAGCAGTTGAAGGTGAAGTCGAGGGAGGGGGTACTTGCAAGACACTCTGATGTCAAAGTGAGGTTCAAAGCTAATGCAAGTAAGTGAATGTGAGAGTGTGAATGAATCAATATTTGGTCCTCTCAAGTGAGAGCATATTTATAGCCCCCAGCGTTGGGCCAAGGTCTTTAGTGATGGGCCACGATGAGGCCCAACAACGAATATTGTCAAGGCTTACTTGTGTATGGTGTCCAGCACGTGGCCTCCTCCCTAGTCAACTGCTCCGAGAAAACAGGAGATGGACCCATTATTCTCTGAGGGCAGTATGATGACGATATGGACATGTGGGCAACGTTTTCCTAGCGGACACGTGGGGAAATATCCAACGGTTCTTAGATTGGGCTGCATACTTTTGGGCATTTGACAAAGGCACTGGATTCGGCCTCCCCAACAGTGGGGCAAGTATCTACCCAGTCCAGAACAGGAGCACCCCAAGTTATTTCCCTTAGGTGAAAGGGTGATGACTTAAGTTCAACTCCACTATCGGGGAACCGTTGCCCTAAAAGAAAATTGCCCAACTCAGTCGGGGATAACTCGTTGGCTGATGTCGAGGATGCAGAAAAACATGTGTGCGGCATGGTCGACCAGGCCAGTGGATGGTCTCTTGACCGGTTTTGATTCTGATATTGTTGCTTTGGTGCCCGTCGGGCATATATATCCATAGGAAGTGAGGAGTTTCCTCGGAATTCTTTTTTGTCGTGCCTGTTAATGAGGGGTTGCCTCGATATCGAGCGTTTACCCCGCCTTTGGGAGGAACAACATATGTGTGCTCGCAGGTAAGGCTATGACATGGGATCGCGCGTTTGTCTACCACTAAGCCTGAAACATCACGAATTTGCCCGTATACGGAGTTTCGTAATTGAGTCGAGGATAAGTTCGTTTCCAAGAGTGGGTATGTGGCTTCTTATCAACCCCATGTGGCAGTTGTTTGGGGTGCCATCTTTCCATAGGGGTTTCAAAAAGTCCAAAATAATGATTATTTTTTGTGTGTTGCCTCGTGAGGTGTGAACCATCTATAAAAAGGGGACCCCAGGGGTCCATTTGTTATTTTCAAGCTCTCTTTTCCACTCTTCTTCAATTGCTCGTAGATCCCCTTCTTATATTGTCACCGTAGAATTCGTTAAAGGCATTCTTTATCTAAGTAAGTCATATCTTCTTGAAAACATGTTTTTTCATCATTTTTAGATTAGACACCCAATTTTTATCTTGAATGGATGAATCCTTGATGAACATTCATGGGTTCTGCAATGAATCTTCATGGATGTTCATCGAAGTTCATGGTGGAAAAAGACTCATTGGCCCCATTTCATAGATTAGCGTCGGGGTCATCCTCCCCGAATAGCGGGGTGGATTCAGGCAACTTTTCCCATTTGACCAAATGTCCCCGAGTAGGTCATAGTTTGTTTCGGTGTGGCAGTTGAGGACTTGGGCCAAGGTTCGTTCCTCGACAGAATCATTATCCTTTCACTTGATTTGCAATGGAAGGGTGAATTTGATGATGTCGAATTCATTGTTTTCCCCTGCTTTTCAAGTACAATGGCACATCCATTCGAGGAGGACGTCGTGCCACCCAATCATGAGGACGAAACTAATGTCGTGGAGGACCCTTTGGTCTGGGTTACGCCCGAACCTAGAAATAAAAGGTCGTGTTTCTCGCATTATGCGTCCGATGCGTTCAACTGTCAAGAGGTTCGAGCAAAGGGTTCCCCCGCCAATTAGGCTCTACAAATCCCTCATCAAAACAGGAGGATATGCTTGTCATATTCGGGAAAGCGCTTCCCCATGTATGAATTTGCTTTCAAGGAGGCGGGGATGCGTTTGCCATTTAACGACTTCCAAGTGGGGGTTTTCCAATGGCTACAATTGGCACCCTCCCAGCTTCACCCGAATGTGCTCGCGTTCATGCGGGCATTCGAGCTCGTC